CTAACTACCCAGAGTTAGTGTAGACCTTGCAGGTTAAGGTCTCAGTGACAGAAGACCACCCCCCCACACTTCTAATGCCAATCATAAGTAATGGGCCCCCAAGTTCACCCTTCAGTCCACCTTGCCTATAAATCAGGGTTCCCACAACTCTGTCCTCCGCTTTGATAACCTGCTATAACAACTCACAGAACTCAGGGAAACACGTTTACCAGTGTATTATAAAGGTTATAATAAAGGATATATATGAACAGCCAGATGAACAGGTACATAGGGCAAGGTCCAGAAGCTTCCTAGGTGCAGAAGCTTCTGTCCCTGTGGAGTTGGGGTGTGCCACCCTCCGAGCACGTGGATATATTCGCCAACCTGGAAGCTTTCCAAACCCCTTAGTTTACGGATTTTTTGAGAGGCCTCATCTCATCGGCATGGTTGATTATTAACTCAATCTCCAGCCTCTTTCCCCTCCCCAGAGAATGGAGGGTTGGGGATGAAAGCTCCAAGCTTCTAGTCGTGGCTTGGTCTTTCTGGTGACCAGACCCCATCCTGAAGCTATCCAGGAGCCCACACAGGGTTATCTCCTTAGAACAAAACACACTCCTATCACCCAGGAATTTCCAAGGGACTTAGGAAGCTCTGTGTAAGACTCTGTTATCACCCCCATCACTCAGGAAATTATGAAGATTTTAAGAGCCCTGTGTCAGGAATTGGGGATCAAAGACTAAATATTAGAACAAAAGATGCTCCTCGCACCCCAGTCACTCAAGAAATTGCTACAAGGGTTTTAGGAACTCTGGATCAGGAATGGGAGAAGAGACCAAGAATTATATTTATTATGTCACAGGTGGACACATGACAAATACATTTGGCAAAACCCATAGGACTGTACAACACAAAGATGAACCCTAATGTAGACCATTGTTAATAATAACGTAACAATATGGGTTCTTCAATTGTATCACACTAATGCAAGATGTTAATAATTGGGGAAACTGTAAGCAGGGGAGAAAGAAGCTCTATAGGAGCTTTCTCTACTATCTGCTCAATCATCTGTGAACATAAAACTGCTCTAACAAAATCAAAACCAAGCCTATTCATTTTTTTAAAAAAGGAAAAGAAATTTAAAAACAGTCAATGAGGCTCGTTGTCAAACTGGTCAATGAAAAAGTTAATGTAACATTTAACGAGATAAGCTTAGGTGCAGAAAGAATCTAATCAAATCATTGTATAAGAGTTGATCACAACTGTCTGCCATGAGACCATACCAGAAGCAGCTATGGCCTCTGTGCAGTTCGGAGTAACATTTGAAAGAAAGTCTACACTAATGTAAACCATGGGCAGACAGAGATTAGGAAGGTAATGCGACATACTTTTTTTTTTTTTTTTGGCGGTATGCGGGCCTCTCACTGTTGTGGCCTCTCCCTTTGCAGAGCACAGGCTCCGGACGCGGCTCAGCGGCCATGGCTCACGCGCCCAGCCACTCTGCGGCATGTGGGATCTTCCCGGACCAAGGCACGAACCCATGTCCCCTGCAACGGCAGGCAGACTCTCAACCACTGCGCCACCAGGGAAGCCCCAGTTATGTGACATACTTTTAAAAACAGTGACTCCCTCAGGTCATGTTTTATTTTCACAAACTTGTTCTATATGAACTTTGAAATCTTATCAAGGTTTTGTCCAAATGATAAAAGCAGACTACGATGCCCATAGCGAAATAAAGGTAGAAATAATTGTTTATGTCAATCTAAGCTGTACTAGCTAGAGCTTTTGCAGAGGAGACAGGCTGCCCTGTGTTCTGTTATTTATGCCTCGTACCCTTTTCATTCTACACTTCTATGCAAGTTACCTCCTTGCATCATATTCATTTTCAAATAGTGCTGAATCTTTCAATCTGATCTTTCCACGCCCAGCAGGAGGAGACCAGGGAGCCTAGGGCACTCCCAAACCCAAGTTTCTGTGTCTAGAATTCTTATTTTGAATTTTATAGAGCTGATATTCATATATCAATGATAAGAAATTCAAACATAAAACTATGCTTTTAATCCTTAGACGGGTTATACTGAGGGGGCACGGATTTAGTTCAGTCTCCTCTTTCGGTGGAACACAAACTCTGAGCAAACAGACTATCCAAGGCCAGCACTCAAGTCTTATGATATCGAATCTAGTATTCTTTTCATAAAAGTATGCAATCTTGATATGATCTAAATGCCTTACAGGCATATCTGATCCTGTTAAGTAAGGAGTATGTCCAGTAACAGCTGACTCCGTAACTGGAGTCTGGTATCCCAGTCTGCAAAAGCCAGAACCTGGGCTCTATTATTTCAGTAAACATGTGTTTAAATTTTTATAAAAGTAACATATAATCACCATAGAAAATTTCATAGAAGAAGATGCAGGAGGAAGCGTAGAAGTTGGAAGATGAAGGGGGAGAGAGGAGAAATGGGAGAGAAGAAAGGAGGGAGAGAGAGAGGGAGGGGAAGGAGGAGGAAAAAAAGAAAAATCGGGCTTCCCTGGTGGCACAGTGGTTGAGAGTCCGCCTGCTGATGCAGGGGACACGGGTTCGTGCCCCGGTCCGGGAAGATCCCACATGCCGCGGAGCGGCTGGGCCCGTAAGCCATGGCCGCTGAGCCTGCGCGTCCGGAGCCTGTGCTCCCCGGCGGGAGAGGCCACAACAGTGAGAGCCCCGCGTACCGCGCAAAAAAGAAAAAAGAAAAATCACGTAGAACTTCAGCACTCTGAAGTAAGGAATGTAAGCATTATACTGCTTAACATCACCGACGGTTTGTAATGTTCTCCACATTCTTGTAACCTGCCTTTTTCTACTTAACATCTTTTTACAGGAGGCTGTGTAGGCAGTGACAGAAGGTGGCAGAAACTGGACAGGTAGTGGATGGGAGCGTAAGCTGTAGAGCTAGACTGTCTGGTTCACATCCTGGCTCAGATTCTCGCTAGCTGTGTGACCCTGAGCAGGCTACTCGACCTCGCTGTTACCTCAGTTTCCCGTCTACTAAATGGAGATAATAATAGTAACTACTTCTATCATGAGGATTCAATGGCTTAATATATTTAACCACTTATAACAGTGCCTGGCACAAAGTATACTCTATATCAAAGGGCAGTAAATTTTTTCAGTAAAGAACCAGATAGTAAATATTTTAGGCTCTGCAGGGTCATATAGTTTCTATCACAACTCCGCAATGCTGCCTTCATGGAGATTGAATTTGAATTTCACATAATTTTCACGTCATGAAATACTACTCTTCTTTTGATGATTTCAACCATTTAAAAAATGTAAAAACCGCTTTAGCTCATGAGCTGTGCCAAAATCAGTAGTAGGCTGGGCCTCTGGGCCAGAGTTTGCTGACCTCTGTTCTGTATAATTAGCAGACATTATTATGTCTCTAATATCTTTCTATAAATTAATTTTAATGGCTGCTTAGAACAAGATTATTTGGATGTCCTATAATTTACTTAGTCCCCTATGATTACAAATTATTTCCAGTGTTCATTACTACAAGCCCTTCTCCAGTAAATATCCATGCAAAACCTTTGTGCACATTTACTATTAAACCTACACCTAAAAATGTATGTAGTGGCAGCTACCAAAATGGCTGGCAGAGCATCTAAAAAGAAACAGACTCTGAAGCAGTAGCCTTGAAAATAAATCTTGGATAGATATAGCAAATTTCAAACGCGTTAGAGAAGGAGCTCTACAAGTAGAATATATTATATTCATACACACATAGAACTTACTTGGTACCATTCTAAGCCTTCTATGTATATTAGATCATTTAGTCCACAAAACAATCCTATGAGAAACAGGTGCAATCATCATCACCATCATCACCCCCAAGGTACAAAAGAGGAAAGTGAGGCACAGAAAAGCTAAGTAACTTCCCCAAGGTCACACAGCTGGCTGGTGGCAGAGGCAGGGTTCAAACCTGGTCTGTGCAGCACCATGCCCCATATTCCTGAAGAAGATGCTGCCCTGCTTCTGCAACAGAAGAGGCCTGGCGAGTGTGCACACCCAGCTCCTCACTTTATAAAGTACCTGTGGTCTTTGGCCCATGTTTGGCACGCATGAACGACCTCACACTCTAATAACTGGCACAAATTTTATCCGTCAATGGGACACTTCGGTGGAAACTGTGAACGCCCACCTAACCTTCCTCTTTTGTCCTCCAACTGCTTCCCCATACCAACTCTTCATTAAATTGCCCTGCATTTCTTACCCAAAAGAGTTGTGCTCTATAAACAGTAAAGACTGACTGGAGCGTACTTTCATATCTCGTTTTTCAAGTCAGGGTCCCAAAATCTGCCAAATTCACGTGGCAACCTCCGGGTGGAGCTTCGCCTAGAGTGGAGGGCCAGGGACCGCCACGGGAATGCAAATTTCGGATAAGTACCTTCTTCCATGGAAACAAAACCGCGGCTCGTGTCGAAGGTCTCTCCCGCGTGGCCACCGCAGCAGCAGGGCGGGCTTGCTCTGGCCCCTCGCCAGGCCCCCGAGGGCGCAGTCTCGCGTCAGTGTGCACCAAACCGCCAGCCTCCGCCGCCAGGCTCAGACGCCGAGTTGCGCTCTCTCCCAGTCCTTCCGGCTTGTGCTGAGATGCAGGCTACTATCCCAGAAACGAGTTATGCGAGTGGGTCCTTCGACTTTGTGGGGAAATGATTCTAGTTTTCATTTCTCCTTCTGATTTCTCCCCCTCCTGGGACCCGACTGCTCGAGTTATCCCCATGAGGCTGAGCAGCCAACGCCGCTGGCCCCAAGTTGTTGCCCGCCCCCCACTCGTGCCCAAACTAGGACAGAACCGAGAAGTAGAGGGGAAACCAGGAAAGAAAGAAGCGGGTTCTTCAAACGGGACCACGCTTGTACAGACGCGGCGGCGGACTTGGAGCAGCGGGGCGGGGAGTCCTGGCCGAGGCCCGGGACTCCGCCCGCCGGGGGGCGCCGGGACGCTGGGCGCGTGCGCTGTGCTGCCCCAGCCCCGGCCGCAGCTGCCGTGATGCCTATTTTAGTCAAAGCCACTGCGGGCGCGGGGACCCGGCACCGGCCGAGCAGCCTCCCGACCCGCCGATCGGCCGAGGCTTTCGCGTCGGGCTCCCGTCGAGCCTTCGCGTCCGTGTCCCCTGCGCCCCGCCGCTGCCGCCCCAAACTTTGGCCAGCACCGCCCGGGCTCCGCGCCAGGGACGAGCCAGGTAAGGAGCGGGAGGCGCAGCGGCCGCGGGCTCCCACAACGCGCCCGGCTATTTGCAGCCTCGAGCTCCCGCGGCTAAATCGGGAAGCGAAAGTTGGATCCCTGCTCAACTGGGAGCAACTTTGCCCTCCCGGACGGCGGCTGCCTGTTCTCGGTTCCCCGGCCGCCGGGAACCCCGCCCTCTCCTCGCTGGCCGCGCCCTCGCCGGGTTCCTTGTCGTTGGAAGCCGCCCTTCACCCCGGGTCTGGGCGTCGCGGTCACAGACCCTCGGATGTCAACTGCCGCCACTCGGGTCTGGCAGCGCCAGCGTCCTCGGGCGCTTGGGCCCCATCGGGTGCCGGTTCCCGCGCTCGGCTGCCCGCAAGCTCTAGGTGAGCTCGGCTTCTCCCCTCCCCAAGAGGCTCCCAGGGCTCCAGGCCCGTGAACCCACTACGGCTCCTCCTCGCCCCTTGTAGGGCCTCCGGGTCCCACGCGGAGGCAGCGCGCAGCCGGGCTCACCGGGTCGCGCGCTCTGGCCTGGCGCTGCGAATGCGAGGTGGGTCATGCACACCCGTCGTGGCCCGGGAGCCTCGGATCAAGACCAGTTGACACAGACCTTCCCTCTTTAAGGAGCGAGGTGAGCTGGGCGCCTGGGGAGAGCAGATGGCTGGGGAAACCGAGATCTACCCGCGCCCTCGTTTCCGAGGCTTTGGGAAACGTGTTGTTGGCCAGATAAGTCTCAGAAACTGCTGGCTTTGGAGCAAGAATAAGTACGAAAAGACTCTTAGCAACATAGTGCCCTTGTCTTTCCGAAGATAAACGAAGGTTCAGTTAGAATCACGGAATGAATTGCGCTAGTCTATGAGCACGACTTTTGCTCACTGCTGTTATCTTCTTCATTTGCGTAGTTTGGTGAAGGATTAATGTTAGTTTCACCATTTAGCTATTTAGCCCTGCACATACCTACCTGAAAAGCAATAGATAAACAGGCCTTAACTAGAACAGGTAATTTAAGAAATCAGACTCAGAGGAAGAAGAAAGTTTCTCTTGATTTAGTCAAAATTAACCTGAACGTTTACCAATTTACCAGTCTAACCTTCCTCGTTAGACTCATTCATTCTCTGTATAAGGATAGTTCAGTGCAAGCCACATAAATCTGTTAAGTAGTGGTCAAAGGAAGCTGAAACCTTTGGCAAGAGGTTTCCATATTTATTGGCAAGATCCGATCCATATTTATTGACAGTAGGTTACTGGCATTTCAAAATAGACATATAGATAAGTATACCTAGATAAATAATAGACATATAGATAAACATACAAATAAAACAAATTATGTATAATATATAATGTTAATTACTCTACAATATATATTGAATATAGAAAATTAAATATATGGACTATACATATATTTTTAACAAGGTGTGGTGCATCAAAATATGTTGTAGGATTATCTCACCTTTTAAAAATTCTTATTACTGTGTCCTTGGTTCTTGGGTTAGTAGATCATAGTTTTCCTATCATTTCTCTTGACCAGAAATTGGTACTTTTAGTGCCAGTTGGAGAAATTTTAAAAGCCTGAAATTGAATTACAGTGAATTAGTTGGCAGTACAGGTGTAATCAGGTGGATGTGAGGGGGAATGTGTATTACTTAACTGACTATATAAATATCTATTAGAGCCACAGGCTATTAAAACTTGAAGGGGTTTCAAAGACCGTCTAGTCCAGTTGTCTCAATTCCCAGGAAGAAGCCAACCTGAGGAGCAGAAGTGACTTTCCCTGGCTTATGTGGCTCCCTGGCGCTCGTAGTATAGAACCTGACTCTCCCAGCCTCAGGCAGGCTTGGCGCTCCCCTATCTTTACTACTGAGGTTTGGGGAGACAGAAAAGTAATTTCTAAAAATGTGTGTCATTTTTGTGTACCTTCCATATGGCTTTCACCTCTGGCATTCTCTACAGAGAAAAGGCCTTGGATATACTTAGGTGAATATGACTTTGTCCCTGTCTCGTAGAGAACACACGTTAGGTAGGGGAACAAATGGGACAATGGGAATGAAAACACATTCTAAAGTGCAGTAGAAATGGCAGTTATTTTTAGCTTATGTAATACTAATGCATAAGCTGATATTGACATCATGAGTGATAGAGGACATTTAATATCATTTTCCCTCCTGAAAAACTTATGAGATTAATTCTGATTTGGTTCTTGAAAGCAAACTTCGTATAAATTGAGTTATTAAAATTCCTCCCCCCGTCCTAATAGGTTTGTATTTTTTTTTTCAAAGTGTAAAGGGTTTTTTTAATTATGTGTAACACAAAGTTATTTAAGTCAATAAATTTTTAAGGAATTTCACATGTTCCGATTCTTTCCACTGCCAATCACCTTAGTTCCTCCAAACTCATAATCTTCAAGATAAAATAGCCCTTTCAAAAAGAAGTTATCATGTGAGTGGGTCAGCCCACAATTCTTTTAGTTAGGCTTCTTTGATCTCCAATGAAATATGGACACACTTCAAAATTCCCCACCTGTAATCTTTGGGATCCAATTTCCTCAAGCGATTTACTTTAGGACCATGTTTAGGGTCAGGAGATGGATCTGCCTGGTTCTGAATTTGACACCCTAGAAAAATAGTATTAGTTACTATTGAAGACTGTCAAACTGAACAGTATGAGAAATTATAGGAATACTGTATCAGTAGAAATACCAGATCTAACATGCACAAAGCCAAGAAAACCAACGATGCCAGATATTGAATTTATATTGCACTGTCCTTTGAACACCCAGCAGGAACAAACTGCTGAATGCAGATACCATGCAGTGCAAAGGTTTGTATTTTTATTGAGCCAAACATTTGGAAGGTAGAGGATTAAGACGTACAACCTATTATGTATGAAATAAGCTACAAGTATATATTGTACAACACAGGGAATACAGCCAATATTTTATAATAACTATAAATGGAGTGTAACCTTTAAAAATTGTGAATCACCATATCATACACCTGTAACTTGTATAATATTGTACATCACCTGTACTTCAATAAAAAAAAATTTGGAAAGTAGTTGAATTTCAATGATTTCTTTCCTTTTTGCAGTAAATCAATATCTACGTCAACTATTTCTCATATGTATGAAGTGTTCTAGAATTACGGGAAGAGATCTTTAATTGACTTGATCATTTCATTCACAGTTTGTAAATTTAGCCATGTATAGGTTTCTATCATCTTAAAAGATGTGGAATTCTTTCACATTTATTTATTAACATCCTTTCAAAATGCCCAACCTGATACCAATTGATTCTACCACCTAAAACCTTCATTTTAGTGTGATGGATGAAAAGAAAAAAAAAGGAAAAATATGGCTTATTGTGTGACCTTATTTGGAAAGAAAATCATATTTCTAAATTAAATTTAAACATATTTTGGGTCCCCATTGGGAATTCTTTGCCTGAAACAGAACAATTCACATATTCTGTAAATCTACATGGTTTTTGCCAGGGATCAATTTGTATAATTAACAATAGAAAGAGTTTTTTAAGTACCAGAGAGGACAGGTCATATAGTAAGGAAATAGTGCCCTTTTGTGTTAAGGTTTATGTAAGCATGTGTAAAATGTATATTCTTTGAAATGTATTTGCTACAGATTCTAATATTAAATAGTCAAATGTATACTCATGACCCATCTTCCATATAATGAACCTGGAAGTTTACTATTTTTCAATTTGTGAGATGCAACCAACTAGAATTTTTATGGGAAAGTAAATCTTTAGACAGTTAAAGGAGTAAATGTTAACACTCTCTCTGTACATATAAATGATTATAGTAATATATTTATTATGTCATATATGATAATTTAGAATGTATATATGTATGCTCTAGTGATTTAACAACAGTATGAAATTAAAGCCTTCCAAATATCCTAAGCCTTCAAATAGTAAATAGTAAGGTGTTAATTTTTTGAAGGTATTAAAAAAATCATTTTTTCTAGTTATTTTTCCTGTGTTTGGATTCAGTGTCACTAGTGCGAGTATGATAGAAAGGTATACTAAATAACTGTAATAGCTATGGTTTATGAACATTGGTGATTGTCTTTTAGACTAGTTAATTCCCTCATTTCTCTCTCCCCCTCCAAGTATGTTTAGATACAAACATATAGATATATGGAGTGATATATATATATATATATATATATATATCAATCAGAGAATAGTGCACTATGCTAAGTATTTTATATATTTCATTTCCTTATAAAGTCAATGAAGTATTATCATCATTTAACAGATAAGAAAATAGATACATTTAATATGTGACAGAGCTGGGATTTGAACCTAGGTCTGTCTAATTCATAACCACCAGAGAAGTCTATTTACCAACATTTAGTTCACAGAAGTAATTTTGGTATAACACCCATAGGGGTGATAAGATACAGCTGTCATTGTTTTTATTGTCCTTTTGTTTATTTGTTTTTATAGGAATTTTCAAGATGAATTATACCAAGTCCAGCCCATTGGCAGAATCAACTGCAATAGGTTTTACACCTGAGTTAGAAACTATCCTACCTGTGCCTTCCAATGAGACCACTTGTGAAAACTGGAAAGAGATACATCATCTAGTTTTTCATGTAGCAAATATTTTTTTTGCAACTGGGTTGGTTATTCCAACTACTCTTCACCTTCATATGATACTTCTTAGGGGGATGTTAACTATAGGTAAGATATCTAACTGAGATTTTATGTAACTTTTCTATAACTTGCATCAGATGGACTTTGTATTGGGGGTTTCAGAGGATTTACATACTTGTTAACTGCATAACTGGGTCAATAAACTTTCTATACCTCAGTTTCCCCACGTGTCAAATAAGGGTAAAAATACCACCTCCTGGGGTTGTAAGAATTCGGTGAGTGTGAGTGTGTGTGTTATCTGACTTACAGTAGTGCCTGGCACATTGTAAGTACTCTATAGTTTTAACTATCATTATTTGAATAGGCATTTACTTGCTGCAGCAAGTAAAGCAACACTGGGAACAAAAACAGTTACCCAGACAAAATAGTTCAAGTAAAATTTGGGGGGGGGGTGTGCGCTGTTAACCCTGATGAAGCACGTTAAATTAATCCACATCAAAATACTAAAACAATCGAATTTACTGTTTTAGCCAGTGATCCCTGACAGATTGCTCTCTGTGTGATTATGTCCCTGGTGATTCATTTATTCAGGTGCATTTCTGAGCACCTGTAATATGTCAGACAGAAATTGACAAATGCAGTCCCCATCCTTGAGAAAGACACTCTTTTGGGGGCTGGAGAGAAACAGATGGGTGGTCACGTAGGACAGATCAGATGCTGTGATGCAGGTGTGCACCCAGTGCCAGGGACAGCATAATGGGCTCAGCAGAAAGGCAGACCAGGGTCCACTGAAGAGACAACTTTGGAGCTGGTTTTGGGAAGATGAGAAGGATTTCGCTGAGTGTGAGTGTGTATGGTATCCAGGTAAAAGGCACAGAGAGGGAGATTCAGCATGTTGAGGGAGAACGAAGAGTAGCTCATTGTGCCTGAAATATATGACAAATGACAAGGAAGGGTCAAAGAAGGTGGTAGAAGGGTAGCTAGAAGGTAGCTTGTAGGACTTCTGTGGCTGTTACCTCTGAGTCAGGTAGGGATTACAGCAGGAGGAGCAGAGTACTGAGTGAAAAAAACCACACCCTGTAAAAAGCAAAAGCTAATTATGACTTTTAAGACAGAGTTTTGGAGGTGGAACAGACCAAGGGAGATCACCTAGTCCAACACTTGATAAACAAAGAAATTAAGGCCTTGGAGAAGTTAAATGACTCATCCAAAATTAAGACTAGGAAAAAGTGGTCAAACCAGGACTATCATTCAGGTCCTCCAGCTTCCCAGTGAGTCCTTCCATTATGTTACCCTGTCTCCTTTAAGTAATAAGATTTTACATGTCTTCAATATTTGCTATGAAATATTACCTAAAGAACCTTAACATTTTTATATTTGGGGCTATTATTCAGGTGCCCCAAATCATTCTGATGAAATTTTAAAATTGCGAATGAATAACTTTTTTAAATGGAGATTTAGTTTTTATGTGCATATGTGCTGTTGATATATTTGTGTTGATAATTGATATGGATAATTTTATTTTAAATTTAAAAATATATTGATTCTCCCATCATAAAACTGATTAAAATAAACTGCAAATTTGCACAAACGTCTTAGAAAACAGTTCTTTAGTGTCATCAAAACCTATAAAGTTATTCCCTTGGCTCACTGTCAGGTGATCCATCCTAAGCAAGCAGTCACAAGAACAGATACATTTTTACGTACAAAGCTGTTTTTGCTACTTATCAAAAATTACAGCCAAAACATTTCACCCATCTACCAGTAGGGAGATAGTTAAATAAATTATGGTTTAATTAATTACAGTCATTAAAAACTATGTATACGAAGAGTTTTAATGAAATGGGAAAATCACTGCAATAAGTAAAAGAATAGGTTTTAAATTGTGAACTCATTAGGTTTGCCATCAGGTAAAAATACATAAAGACTGTGAGGAAGTATTAAATATCAATAGTGGTTGTCTTTAAGTAGTAGAATTATGAAGTTGTTTTTCCTCCTTTAAAAAATGGTTTTTAGGGCTTCCCTGGTGGCGCAGTGGTTGAGAGCCCGCCTGCCGATGCAGGGGACACAGGTTCGTGCCCCGGTCCGGGAAGATCCCACATGCCGCGGAGCGGCTGGGCCCGTGAGCCATGGCCGCTGAGCCTGCGTGTCCAGAGCCTGTGCTCCACAACGGGAGAGGCCACAACAGTGAGAGGCCCGCGTACCAAAAAAAAAAAAAAAAAAATGGTTTTTATTCTTTACAAGTTTTCTGCAACAAAGTGTGTTTTGGTTTTGTTTGTTTTGGTAATCAAACAAAAACCAAAATGTAACTTAATGTGATATTTGTCTTAGGTATTTCTAAGATGTGTTTGGTTTATTTTATACGTGGATGACAAATGTATTAAGCTATATGCTGAGGCTACTCTAGACACCTAACATGCCCACTTCATCATTCAACAGGATGTACCCTTTACATCGTCTGGGCCACTCTCTACCGATGTGCCTTGGATATCATGATCTGGAACTCGGTGTTCCTGGGGATCAACATTTTGCATCTTTCATATCTTTTGTACAAGAAAAGACCGGTAATTACTAACAATTAATTAATAAGGAAGAGACTTTAAAGCTTTTGCTTTTCAAGTACTTTGTTCAGACCTGAGAATGAGCATCTAACATCTTTAGGCCCTTTAACATCATTTTTCTGAAGATGAGACTTTCTGTGAAAGTCTTTCTAAGACTTTCACTTTCTTTCTGAAAGTGAAATATTTGAGCACCACGAAATTTATTCTACCAACGAGTTTTTAAAACGTCTTTAATCATTAGGGCAATTTAGACATGAGAGAACATGACAGTATTCTCTCTTTTTAGTCATCTAACTTCATTATTTATTTTGCCTATTGATATTCAAATGTCACTTTGGAAAATCTTGGCCTTGTTATAAAATTAAGTGCTCAGAGACAACTTCCATGAACTTGCTAATGATTTACAAATAGCTTATGCTATTTTTTCATGCTATTTTTTAAAATGTAATAGCTGTTTTTTTTCTTATGTCCAAAATACTCATTTAAGGAAATCACCATTTTTGGTGAGTTGTTATGAAAACACTAGTATTTAACTTTTTCTTTTCCACTCCTTGTTGTATTTCCTTGGTCATACCAAGAACAAACAGATGTAAACAGAATAGGAAAATAGCATGGCTCCTAGAAATCACTCCACAGCTGTTTGTTGACTGTCCAAAGCACATACAAATATTCAGTAAAGTAAAAGATAACATGCTTGCTCTAGTCTTATGTTCAAGGCCAGACATGCACATAGAAAACTATTAGAAAACAAGATAATTCATAGGAAATTATAATTTCAGTGATACAGGTGATATATGTAATAGGCATTCCACTAGACTGTCATCTCCTCAAACATTGTAACCCAGTCTGTTTGCGTACTGTATTAGTCAGTTTTCACTACATTATGCTGTGTAACAAACAATCTGATAGTCTCAGTGCCTTATAACAGCAACAGGTTTTTTTCCTTACCAACCTAATATATGGACTGTGGCAGATGTGATTCTATTCCATGTGTCTTCTTCATTTCAGTGTCTCTGCTGAAGCAGCAGGTTCTATTTGGACATGCATTCTCATGGCAGACAGAAAAATATAAGAGAACAAAAGAAACACCCAATGTTTCTTAAAACTTCTGCTCCCATTTCACTGGCCAAAGTAAATGACATGGCCGAGCCTGATGATGTAGGGGTAGGATAGGATAAGAGGATATATGATCCTCTTACGGGGGTGGAAGCAGCAAATAGCTGGAAACAATAATATCATCTACCACAATTACTGTTGTATTCCCGGTTCCTGCCAAGCATGGTTAGCACTTAATTGGTGCTCAAGAAAACATTTGATAAGTGGATGCTTTCAAAGAGAAGAATTAAGAGGGCTTCATGAAGGAATTGGGACTTGAGCTAAGACTTGCAGGATGAGCAGATTATGAATATGAGTCAATATTTCAGTTCGCATGTTCATTGCTGTGCCACATTGGCTAGTGTGCATGCTGGAAGTGAGACAGATTTGTGAATAAATTATTTTAAACACTCATTATGAGAGCTGTGGAGTGGAGAAGGTAGATGATAGTAATGATAAGGATTTCAGCTTCTGAATATCAGAACTTACTAGAACCCCAAGTTCTGAACATAAGATTCAGAAGTTGCTGATGTGATGGTAGCACCAGGTAAGTAAATCACTTAGTATCTGTGCTTTTGTTTCTTCTCTGACAATAAACCTACCTTTTTGAAAAATATAAATGCTAGTACTTGTTAAAATGAAACAGCAGGACAAGTGAGAGCATTGCAAAGGCTGCAGTGACATCTGAGCAGCCCTGGTCATCTGCGTCTGTAAGCTTCATGGTGTGGCTACCGTAGATTTCATTGAGATGGATGATCATTTGAACCCCAAAGTTCATTCACATGCTGTACAGATTCCCCAGACTAATGCTGGGTGCAAAGATGGGGCTTGACCCGGGCCTTGAATAGTCTGACAGCAGAGGTGATTGAGCCATTTTGCTTTCCCTCCCTCTAGCATCCAGCCTTACTGGCCAGTGGGTTCTCTATTCTACCGAGATTATGGTAGCTCAGGATGAGACTCTACTACATGGAACCTTTTTTACTCTTCACTTTGCTTCAGAATAAATGAGAAGCAGCAATTGCAGCTGTGGATGTTTGCTTTCCTATATTAACTCATTAGATAATAATTATATATAGAAAAAATGTTTAATGTATATATCCTCATAAATTTGTTTCCAAGCTGATTCCTAATTTATGTACTTATTTTCTTGCTGTAATATTTCAAAGTTAGTGTAATTTCCTTCTGTGAAACAAAAGTATTCTAAAAATGAAAAGGTTTTACGTTGTTTATAGCAAATGCTAAGATTGGCAAGGTGAATGTTGTGACAGCATTCGAAACCTCCACGGTTGCTTGGTAGCGCATAGAAAGAGATGTAATCAATAGTGCAGATCTTCACCATATGCTCTCAGGGTTCAGTTTAACTGCAAAAGTGCCCTTTCAGCGTCTAAATTTACATCACCACTTACTCTTCTGTGTCAGATTCCATTGACCAACACACAGAAGGGTGATGGCATCCATTGCAGATTTGTTTATTCTCACAATCCCTATTTAGACCACAGAAGCCAATGTTTTGGTGTTGCTGCGTTAGTGTGGCATCTGGTCACTGCTGCCTTTCAGGTAAAAATCGAAAAGGAACTCAAAAGCATCTACCAGCGATTGTTTGAACCACTCCGTGTGCCTCCAGATTTGTTCAAAAGATTAACTGGACAGTTTTGCATGATCCAAACATTGAAAAAGGGCGACACCTATGCTGCAGAAGATATAACCTCAGTTGACGACCGTCTGAGTATTCTCCTGAAGGGAAAGTAAGTGCTCTGTGGAAATCTAAATGCTTCGTTTGCCTGGAATCCTCTTCTGGCTTCTGGGTAGGAAATGAATGAAAGGAAATGTTGCCGACTAATGAAGGAAGTGATCACAGAGCTGGTTGGTGGTGAATTTTCATCAGACAACTGCATTTTAGAATATTACAGAGCAACGTGGTAAAATTATGTAGAATTTATTGCTGTGAATCTTGTTGATGTCAGGGTTTTCATTTGTGAAGTTTTCAACTTTTTTGGAAGTTTTATTTAAATTTAATGAGGCAGAATTGTAATAGGTTTAAATTGGGTTTTAAAATTTAAGGAGCTTATGCGTGTCTCAGAGGTGACTTGCTTAATTTTTTGAACATCACAGAAATACAACTTCTAGGAATATCAGTCTCCTGGGAGGACAGCCAGTGTCTGTTCCCTCTCAAAAGTGTCCCAGTTTGAGTAATTAATTATATGGTCACTCCAGCTATAACAGCAATGATAACCATTGGAAGGCACATGTCTTCTTCAATACGGATACTTCTTTTCCCTTGTTGTTGGTGAAATTTATTTTGAAATTAATACTTGTGCCTCAGGAAGGGCTTTTTAATTATGTCAGTCACCTGCGGCGGGGGGGGGGGGGGGGGT